TCTATAAATTAATTAAAATTTAAAATTATAAGTGTTTATTTTAAAATTTTAAGTATTTGTTTTAAAATTTTATATCTAACAAATTTATAAATTTATTAAATTTTAATTATTTAAATTTTAAAAATTGAAATTCAAAATTCAAAACCATTACCACTAGCCCAAGTCTTCCGTCATACACATATTCATAAATTTCTTGATTATTGAATTTCAAGTTGTAATGAGGAAGAAATAAGAATAAGTGGGGGTGTACAGGACAGCAGCCCACCCACTCCCATGTGAAGAACTGATAAAAAAGGACAGACAAAGAGCACGTCGCTTAGCTACCCTTTCTTTATAGGCTGGCATCATGTTCCATGCCTTGCCGTTTATGTGACATAGACCACGACAGCAAAAAGGGGGAAGAAAAAAGGTCACATATAATATATGGAAAATAAAAATAGCCAACTGCAAAGTCTGCAATGCATGATCTTACCGTCATAACCATTAAAAATTACACCCTTTTCGGCAGAAAGTTGTTGCAGAGAGAATTCACCTGCATGCTTGCTAAATGCTGGTTTTGTTTGTATCTCCATGGTTTTGATTATGAAACCAAAGAAAAACAAATGAATGGGGGCCTTAATTGGTTTAATTCAATTTTTAGCTTATTAACTATAAGCTTAATTTTATTTTAGTCTAAAAAGTTTAATTTTTTTAAATGGTTTATAAACTTTAAAAATATTTCAAAATAGTCTACTAGTGCAAAATTTTGTTAGATTTAACATAAAGAATAATTCTTTAAATTTTGAAAAAGTGATATTATAATTTTAATAAAATATGATAACTTAAAAAATATTTTATAAAGGTAAATTAGTTAAAATTTGTAATAAATTTAGGCAACTAGTCTGTTTTACAAGACAGATTATATGTAATTTGTCTTGAAAAATTATTTAAATGTTTCAAAAAAATAATATAAAAATAAAATTAAGGACATTTAAATAAGTTTATAAAACAGACTACATACAGTTCGCCCTGTAAAATAATTTTCTAAAAGACACATTTAGCAATATAAGATTAAAATTTATTTTCACGGTAAGTATAAACTTAAGGACTAAAAGATCAAAAAAATATATTTAGAGAACTAAATTTTTTTTACAGAATAAGAAGATTACATGAAAGATAACAGACATCTCCATTGATAATGGATTAGATGAAATTGAAATAAATGTGAAAGATAATAGATAAAATTAAAAGAATTCAAAAATAATAAATGAAACTGAAAAAAAATATAAAAATTAATAAATAATTTGTTAAATTAACCCGAGCTTAATTGATCCATTCATTTGACCTATGATTGAAGGCCTAAAAAAAATAATCTAAGATTCATCCCTATTCTAAAATGCAAACGTTGATCAAGACAAGACCATGCATTTGATACTAACTTTCAACTGAAAAAATGGAAAATACCCATTAACCAAACAACGGAGAAAACCCAAAAGCCCAATTCGGTTTATATTGTTTTCAATAGTTGTTTTACATGAAAAGGGGCCAAACACCAAGTGACTAGCAAGTAGAGGTTATATTACATTCTACCATCCAAAAAGAAAAAAAGTAAAAAGCTCAACTTGGCAATATAAACTTATCAGAGATCACAAGGCACCATGAATTACAGGTTGGAGTTATTGGCTTCTTCCCCCACTCTCTGATTCTAGTAATGGTGGCACGAATCCCAATATCTCTCTTCCTCTCTCATTGTTTCTCTTCGTGTATGAATTTGGAAGGCTGTTTAGACCTTTGTAACCCTCTGGAGAACTTCAAAGTAGTCTGGGAAGGTTTTCCGGGTACAACCAGGATCATTGATGGTAACTGGGACATCTGCGCAGGCAGCAAGGGAGAATGCCATGGCCATTCGGTGATCATCATAAGTGTCAATTGCTGTCACATTTAATTTCTCTGGAGGAGTGATCACACAATAGTCTGGTCCTTCTTCAACTGTTGCCCCCAACTGAAATAATAACACGAATATAAATGCAAGGAAAAACAAATTCTAAATTATTAGACATGTCTAAATTATCTCAAATAAGAATGAAGTAACAATAATCTACCTTCCTGAGTTCAGTGCAGATAGCAATCATTCGTTCAGTCTCTTTCACCCTCCAGCTTGCCACTGAAAAATATAGAAATCAATAATCACCATGTTATTTGATAAGAATAGTCAGCAATAATCCACAAAAGCTGTCTATGGTCCTAGTTTCTTGATTATATCAGTCTTCAGTTTGGCAGAACAAGAAACAAAACAAGTCCATACCATCTCGTATGGCAGTGGGACCATCAGCAAAAAGTGCAACTACAGCGAGAGTCATGGCAACATCTGGCATTTTGTTCATGTTGACATCAATGGCACGCAGGTGTTTCCTTCCATGAGATTCTCGTGGTGGTCCAGTGACAGTGACACTGTTCTCTGTCCAAGTAACTTTGGCACCCATCTTCTCAAGAACCTCAGCAAATTTTACATCTCCCTTAACCAACAAAAAAAATTCAAGAAAAAGAAGTGTAAGTTCATCCAAGGTCATTCTGATAGATGTTCATGTGGCTACTCTTTGCAATGAGCAATTATACGTATTTGAAGATTAGCCTAGAGGGGTAGAATCAATAGGTTGTGAAATTCGATGGCGATTTTGAATGGAAAGAATGATGCCTGCATACTACTTGTTCAGGAATTTGGGAGTTGGGAGACATTCATGGATTTCAAAAGACCATTCCTTCCCCTGAGTAAAAGAAATACCTGTAAACTGCTAGTTCCACATCCTTCGACTGTTATAGTCCCACCAGTGACTGCTGCTCCAGCTAGGAAATAACTAGCACTTGAAGCATCGCCTTCAACATAAGCATTACCAGGAGACCTGAAACATTTACCATTTTATCACTTTTAGTTCATCCAGATAACCCAAATGGGCGCAGCTCTATGTATAATGCATCACAGAAACCTACTTGTACTTTTGACCTCCATGGATAAAAAACCGATCCCAACTACCACTGTGTTCTACAGTGACCCCGAAGCGTTCCATCAACTTTATAGTCATCTCAACATAAGGAATTGAAATCAGTTTATCAATTATCTCAATTTCAACATCTCCAAGAGCCAAAGGAGCTGCCATTAGCAAAGCAGTCAAGTACTGACTACTAATTGATCCAGAGAGCTTCACCTGCAAAAGGAGAAAGGTTATGAACAGCGGTGATATCATCCTAGGTTCTCTCATATAGAATTTTTTTTTTTTTTTTAATATACCTTCACTGATTAGCTTAGTAGCTGAAGCCTAACTATAAAATGATGATAGAACAGTATTTATATGCATGATGTAGAGGCAAATATCTCTCACTCAGAAATAAAAATTCTAAAACTATGAATATGTAAGAAAAAAATTCCTTTCCCATCTCTTACAATTCCAAGAATTTCATATAACATTCTTCCTGCTACATGCACCTTAACAAAGTCACATCAGAAAAAGGTTATGAAGCATCCTTTCATAGACAGTTAACCAACAATATGAACCCACAAAAAGGTAATATAAATGCCGTTCTCACCTTTCCCCCAGGAAGGCCCCCCTTTGAGTTTACACGAACAGGGGGACAATTTGTGCCATGAATACAATCAACATCTGAACCGAGCTGCTTAAGACCAGCAACCAAGTCTCCAATTGGTCTCTCTCTCATTCGAGGCACACCATCAAGTATGTAACTGAAAATGATTGTAAGACATAATTGTGTATCTTAAATAATAAAGATAATGCAACAAGACAAGTTATCAGCAACTAAAAGGCTCAAAGATTATAATTTGTACCATTTCAAGCACCTCTTTTTACATAATATGATCATAAGCTAGCATTCAAATTTTAACTGTTTTATGCCTCCACAAGTGTTGACTAAGTCTCATTTAAACATGTTTTTTTCACCTCTCAGCTCCTTTGGCTTACTGTTGGAGATACAATCTTCCCACCTCAACCCCACCCCAAAAAGGCATTAAGATTAACAGAAGGATGTAGGTATCCAGAGATAGTGGGGGAACTTAAGCCATGTAGTTAGCTAATGTTAATACTGGTTCTATTTTGGATAAATGAATTAACGCTTCATGATTAATGATGGTGAGAATGAATAATCAAAATAGACAATCCCTCCACATATATATTCAAATAGAAGGACATGAAGATAACTTCCAAGCTTTGAATGGTAAATAGAGTAACATGTTTTAAAAGAAAATTCTTGAATCAGTTCTCCTTTAAATGGCACAAGCATCAAATGTTAGCACAACTAATTAACCATTTCAAAGAAAATACTCTACCAACCTTGAATTGCCACCTGCAGCTGTAACAGCAGCAGTAAGAGGTCGCATTGCTGTTCCTGCATTGCCAAGGAAAAGTTCAACTTCACGACCTGATCCTTTGCCCACTGGAAACAAACCCCCACAACCTTCCACAATTGCCCGTTTCATTGCACTGTCTTCTTCCACACGTAGCCCAAGTTTTCCCAAAGCAACAAGCATGTGATGAACATCATCACTATTCAACAAGTTGTCCACCACGGTTGTTCCCTGTAATAGCAAATAAAAGTGAAAACTAATCCTTACAAGATCATTTACAAGCTAAAAGAATCAGTAAAGAAGAAAACCAATTTAAAAGTATATGTATTAGTCAACAAATGTACATTGACCGGAGCATGTCCGAATCTGACATAATGAACAACCAAAAAACCCAACCATTCAGCATGCCAACAAAAAGCAAAGCCATTGCACCAATGCAATTATTCACATATATATAAATGAAAGAACCTTCAAATTAAAGCAACCATGAGCATCACCACTACGAAAAACTAATTAAACTCCCTCTATAGGCTAATTAACTGAAAGCTCAAAATCCAGAATTCATTCCTTGCAACAGTTCCCCACAACCAGAGCATTACACTAAAAACACAAGCAATAAAATTCGTCTAAAGAACCAATAAAATATTGCAATTGAATTCATATTTATTTACCTCAGAAAGAGCAGCCAGAAGCAGAACTCGATTGGAGAGCGACTTGGAGCCGGGCAACGTAACAGTCCCAGAGATTTCCTTGATGGGTTGCAACACAATCTCAGATGCACTTGACGGCTTCTCGGCTGTTGCCATGGATGCTGACACCCTGAGTGGAGGCACAGCAATCCTTACCCAGCTCCCATTCTCCTTCAAAACCAAGCCCCAAGACCCTTTAAGCTGGGAAGACAATCCATAAGAGACTGAAGCTGCCGATTTGGGCAAACTGGGTCTTGATACATGGGGCAAAATACAGGTGCTTTGTGCTCCATTACCGATAAATTTGCTAACTTGAACCATTTTCTTTCTCTTTCTCGAGAAAGTTGGGTATTGTTTTACCTCTGCAAAGCAAACTGGAATGAAATTAATTGTTGTTGGGGTTGGTGGATTGACTCAAATGTAACTCACCAACCATGTCCAAGGAACTGCCCAAGGAAATGATGAATTTCGCTGAATTTTTTCCTTCTTATTTTTCGCTTGCAGTTCGTTTGTACGTTGTGCTGCGAGTGGTTATACCTTGGCTTGATTTTGGATGAGGCAATTTTGTGACATGATTATTGCGCAAAATAATCATTTATTAATTTTTTTATTTAAAAATATTAATTTATATTTTAATTTAAAAATTAATTAAACAATAACACAGATGTAATTAATATTTTTTTAGTCATTTATTAATTTTTCAATTAAACAAATATAAAATTAATATTTCTAAATAAAAAATAAAAAATTATGATTTTTTTAAATCTAAAATTTATATTTTCAAATAAAAAAATAAAATTTATATTTTTATCAACATATTTCTCTATACCCTTAAATAATACTATAATTATAATATCATCAATTTTTTTTTTCTTTTGTGTTTAATATTTCTATCCTCGTATTTCCCTTTACTCTTAAATAATATTATAATTATAATTATAATGTTATTCTTCTTTCTTTCTTTTTTTTCTTTTGTGTGGGAATAACCACATGCAATTTTGGAGGTTGGTGGCAATTGGGAATTAAAGGTCTGACTATGGAAAGTCAAGCAGCAAGAAGAGGTTAGGAGAGAGATTTGATGGGGGACCCAAGGAGGGAGTAGGTAGGCTTAACACCAACATGAGATATGTATGGGCTTAGCTACTACCGAATACCCCAGTGCCAGTCCAGACCACCAACACACCAGGGTTTGGTATTTGTCTATTCCTATGCTTTTTGGACCAGTCCATTAAATATAAAGTCTACTAACTAAATGGGCAAAAGATTTCCTAACCCTTACCTAAAAAATAAAATCACTAATCATATGCCCGTTTAGGTGATAAAATCTAGCCATAAAGAAATTTTTTTTTTTTTTTTTTTTTGTCTATGTTCTTGCCAATCTACAAGTAATATTGTAAATTGTAAGTTATAAGTTGCTTCAAACAAATAGGTTCTCTTCCTTTTCTAGTTGTTGATGTCATGTTAATAGCTTGGATCGTGTTTTCCCTCAAACTCCAACTCATTAGCTTGACAATTTTGTTCTAAAAAAAAAAAACACTCAAAGGAGAAAAGGATTGACAATGCTTAATGTAACAAGTCACCGTTATCAATTTCAACGGGAGGTTTTTTTTCTTTTAACTTTAGACTTATTATATGATGAAAGAAAAAGATAGTTAAATTTTGAGATAAGGTTATGACTACTAATAAAAATATTAAAATCATTAAAATTATA